GCCCCAGGCGCTCTCCCGGCCCCTCCCCCTGTCCCCGCCCGGCCTCACCTTCCTCGGCGCCGCAGCTGCTGCCGGGAGCGCAGGCCTCCAGCCGCCGGCGCCGCCACAAACGCTGCTTCTCCTCCAGCCGCTGCTTCTCGGTGTTGGCCTCGTCCCAGCGCCCCTTCTCCATCAGCCGCTGGTCGGGCCGCAGGCGGCTGTCGGTGGGCGCCACGCCCGCCTCCTGCTCGTTGAGCGTCAGCGCCAGCTCCGAGAAGTAGTACATGTTCTCCGCGTTCTCCCTGCGGCGGCGGCGGCGGCGTGAGTGGGGCCGCCCTGTCCCCGCGCCGCCCTCCCGGGCCCCGCTCCACTCCCGATGGCCCGACCCGGCAGAAGCCAGCGGCTGCGCCCAACCCGCTCCTCACCCCGCCGCCCTGCAGCTGTTGTGCCACGTTAGACTTCTCTGGGAATTTGTCCGCTCCACGCAGGTTTTCAAATGTATCAGCATCAATTGTTTCCTGCTGTCCTCATTAGACTGTGTTAATGTCTGGGATATAGCAATGTCCCTTTTTGCGTGTGAGGTTGGTTCGTGCCTTCTCTCTGTTTTGAACATCCACGTCAGAGGTTCTGTCCATTTTATTCATTGGTTGATCCTATTTTAGGTTTTTCTGCTTTATTGATTTTGCTTTTATATTCCCTCCTTCTACGTTCATGGGGGGTTCATTTTGCTGTCCTTTTTCTAACTTCTTGAGATGGACGGTTAGCTCATTATTTTTCAGCTGTTATTTTTTCTAATATGTGCATTTTAAAGCTGCCTATTTCACTCCGAGTGCTGCTTTAGATGAATCCCACAACTACTGATATGTATTATTTTTATTATCATTCTGTTATATTTTCTGATTTCCATGATATCTTCTTTGACCTATGGATGAGTTGGAAGTGTATTTTTTAAAGTTATAAATATATGGGGATTTTTCTTGCCACTTTTTTCTAGCATAATTGCTTTGGAGCATACTTGATATAATTTCAGCCCTTTGAAATTTGCTTTATGGTCAATGTTTGCAAATGTTCCACGTGTGACTGAAGAGGACGTGTTTGCTACAGTTGTTGAGTACAGAGCTCTATACCTGTTTAGCGGCTCTTGTTCCAACTTATCCTCCTGGTTTTTCCCCCCGTTCATTACTAAGAGAGATATATCAAAATTCCCCACTTTGGTTGTAAATTAGTCCATTTCTCCTTATATTTCTATCAGCGTGTGCTGTTATATATTTTAAAGCTATGCTATTAGGTACATTCAAATTTAAAACATCTTCCTGGTGAACTGAACTTTCAGCATTATGAACTGCTCCTCATCCTTAGTATTATTTTTTATTTGAAAGAATGTTTTGTGATATGAATATAGCTGTAGCAGCTTTTGTTTGGTTAGTATTTCTACAGACATATCTTTTTTCATCCTTTTATTCCAATATTCTAAAATTTTCTTATTTAGATGTATCTCTTGCAAACCACACCTAATTAGATTTTTAAAAACTTGTCTGAATCTCCTATAATGGGAGCACTCAATGTAATTACTGATATGTTGGATTTAAATCTATTATCTTGTTTTTCCTTTTTGTTCTGCCATTCTTTTGGACCTCAGGTGCACAGATTTGGATTTTAATCCTTGGTATGTGACACCCTCTCTTTTTATTGGTCCTTGCATAGCCTGCTTTTACTAACTTATTCATAACTTTATTAATTTACTGCCACCCTCAACAAAAGGTAGAATCTTGACAAAAACCTACATTTAACCATATGGAAAACCCACCAATCCATCCCCTTCTCAGGTAGCTATGAGCAAGACTCCTGGGTTCATCAGACCCTTGCTTTGCTTTTAATAAAATTTTACTGCATCTTTAAGTATTGTTAAGTCTGTGTATGTGTGTACACATTCATATACATATATTTTACATATTTTTAAATTTTACTTTATCAATATACAATGTAGTTGATTTTCGTGTCCCTTTACCAATTCCGTTTCCCCCTCCCCCCCACATATTATTTTTAACTGTATAAAAATAATATCGTGATTTATGTAACCTTCTGGGATTTTCTTTTTTAACTTAATATTATATTGCTAAGATTTATCTATCTTGCTCATGTTGTTGTGGTTCATTTGTTTTAACTACTGTATAATATTCTCTCATGTGAATATACTACATTCAATAAATTTGGGTTGATTCCAAGTTTCTGCTATTGAAATAGTCTCGCACACGTTTCCTGTTGTACATTTGCAAGAATTTCTCTTGAGTATATACATAGAAGGGGAATTTCTGGGTTATAGAGTATGTGATAGTTCATCTTTAGGAAGTAAGGCCAAACTGTTTTCCAAAGTGGTTGCCCCAATTATATTCCCACCAGCAATGTATAAGATGTTGTGGGTCCACATCTTCTTCAAAACTTGATATTGTCAGACTTTTCATTTTTTCTAATCAAATAAATGTAAAATGGTTTCTCACTGTGGTTTCACTTTGCATTTTCCTGATTACCAGTGATGTCGATCATGGTTTTCATATGATGACTATATATGTCATATATGTGACAAACATATGTTTCTTCTGTGAAATTCTTGTTCATGACTCTTGCACATTTTCCCATTGGGTTGTTTTTGCTCTATTTGTTGATCAGAAGTTCTTTATGCATTCTTTTTTAATTATTATTTTTAATAGTGATAATATGCTCTTTCTCTATTCTTGATACTAATCCTTTGTCAGTATTACTTTCAGTATTATTTTCTCCAAGCTTACACACTGTCTTTTTACTTTCTTTAAATCATCTTTTAATGAGCAAATTTTTTCTTAATGACAAAAGTATTTTGATATAGTCAAATGCAACAGTGCTTTTTTGTGTCTTGTTTAAGATATATTTCCTTAAGGTCTAAAAGATATTCACCTATATTTTTTTTTACCTAGAGTATTAACTTATTATTTAACAGTAAGTCAAACTTAATACTTATTATAAGACCTTTATCTGGAGTCAACTTTTCTTATAATGTAAGGGAGGGATTCAGTTCATCTTTTTCCATATGGATAATATTTTTTCCAGATCCACTTAGTGACCAGTCCTATCTTTCCACATGAGCTGATATACCACCTTTGTCATATATCAGAGACACATACATCCATGGGTCTGTTTCTGGCCTCACTATTCTATTCCACTATAGTTTCAAAGTAAGTCCTGCTATCTAGCAGGATAAGTCCTCCTTTCTCTGAATTTTTTCAGAAATGTCCTGGTCCTTTATTATTTGATATAAATTTAAAAATTCTAATATCAAGTTCCATGATAATCCCTATTGGGATTTTGTTTGATTTACTGACTCTTTAAATCGCGACATCTTTACAATACTCTATCCATGAACGTTGTATCTTTCTTCATTTACTTAGATCTTCTTTGGTATTTCTTAGTAAAGTTTTATAATTTTCTCTACAGAGGTCCTGAATATATTATAAGATTTATTATAAGGTCCTTGATGTTCTCTGACATAATTTGTGTCTTCTCTTAAATCACATTTTTTTAGTTGTTTGTTTGCTCTTAGTGTATAGAAATATAACTGACTTTTGCATATTAATATTATATCTAGGCACCTAAAATGCTGTTTCTTAATCTGTTGAGATTTGTTAATATGATTGATTTATAGATTTTCTAATATAAAACCATCCTTGCATATCCTGGATAATTCAACGTGATTGTAGAATGTTATATTTTTTATACACTGTTGGATTGGATTTTCTTTTTTTTTTTTTTTTTTTTTTTTTTTTTTTTTTTTTCCGT